TCTAGATGTTGTATGAAAAAGTGGTGTAATATGTCTTAACTAGAACGCGGGCTACTCATAAAAGTTGTAAAACAAAGTTTTTATTTAATAAATATAACAGCACTATTAAAGCTGTCAATAAAGAATATTTATTAAAGTGTCTTCCATCTTAAATATTTGTATTGCTCTATGTTGCTTTGATATCAGACAGTCCATAAAAGGACTTACTACTAACTTTATGTTTGCAGCTTATTTGTATGGTAGTTTCAGATTCCACTGTTTTTAAATATAGGAGCTTTAGGAATCCAATATTAGAAAATTGTTGCACCTAATTGCTTTGTGATGCTTTTGTATCATGTATGAAGGTAGATACCTTCCTTCAGTGTATCGTAGCTGCAAGGTTCACTTTTTAACATCTGTATTCGCTCTGTAATTTTCAATAACGGCAGTTTTCTCATGAACAAAAGACGAATCGTCTTAATTAAAAATCGTTTCACTCAGTTTTAATCTACTACTGTACTGAATTTATGATACAGAAAATGTAACAAAGAAGAATTATTATTTTTCATATAAAATGTGATATATTCTGCGATCTTGTTTTGGACTAGTAACAATTTTATGTTGTTTGGGTTGTCTTTACTCCTATAATTTTTTTTTAAAATAATACTGGGTATCAAGAAGTCTTTAGAGATATTTCAAATAATTAATTTTCTACAGTTGATATTCATAGGCTTTAGTTAGAAAGATTTGGAACGATTTCTGTTTTTTTTGGCTAATTTTAATCTTACCGGAGTACGGCTCCTTCTATTTTAGAATCTTTCTTCTTTTTCTTCGAGTTTAAGAATATTTCTTTTATTCAAAAGAAAATTCTATAATTCTTATAAGATTATATATTTATTATTATATATTTATATTATATATTTATTTTGGGACTTTGTCATCCCTGGAAGAGTTTATGGTCCCTAACTATCATTTCAATGTTTTTTTTTAGTTACATTAGTATATTTTGAAAGCTTCCGAGTAATTTCAGATCTATACAAGTACTTTTAAATAATTTCAGGACTTTACAAGTACTTTTATCATTATTTCAGCAGTTTTTAAAACGTTACTTGACATTTTTAATTAAAAAAAAAATATTAACCAAATTTGTTATGATATAATTTTTAGAAGCACAAATAATACTGCAAATTGAACCCAATTAAAAGCACGTTTCTTCTCAAAGTTAAATCAAATAAATCAATTTTTTCTTATCTGCCAAATTTACTGACTTATAATTTATTTTTAAGGGTTAAGCAAAGTTCAGGCACTGCAGCTACTGAATTTGTAAAATTTTGAAGTTTTAACTCGCTGATATATCTTAGAAGATATTATGATAAAGATCATTAAAACGACAAAGAAAAAAGAAACTAACAACGAATTTTTAAAACCAAAAATCCAAAGGAAAAAAATTCAATTTCAAAGCACAACGTGCCAAAAGTTTGCTACCGCATTTTGCTTGTCTTGAATCATAAAATTTTGCAGATATTCTTAAGCGCACGTTTTATTTGTTGAAAAATTTTAAAACAACAAAAATATCTTGTTAAGATTTTAATTCATAGATACAACGAACAGTAATAACAAGTAGACTTAATTATCATTTTTCATGTTCAACACAAATAATACAACTGCGACTTTTACGGTTAGGAAAGATACTTTTAATTTTTATTCTATTTATTTTTTGTGAACAAAGCTTTGAAAGGATTTGTCAACCATTTTGTTATTTAACTTAATTTTGGTTTTGGTTTATCAATAATATTATTGTTTTTGTTTTTTTTTTAAGAAAAATGTATAGTATTAACAGAAAAAAGTCTCACAGCACAACAGTAACAGTAAAAATATCTATTTAAATTATCTGGCACACCAAAAATGTATTTCTAAAATGCAAATTTTGTATCTTCTGCACTAAACTAAAGATACTTGCAAACTCTAAACTCGCAGAAAACATATTTTCCATGTCGATATAATTGATTGCGTTATGCAAAATACCAAAATACTAAAATGCAAAAACACTAACGCAGACAATAATTCCATAAGCTCCGACAGCATTTATTCAGCTGCTTGTAAAAAGATACATAACTCAGTGGAGAAATCCTGCTCAAATGCGGATTTCTGGATTCTGGATTTGTGGCAACTATAGAAATGTCTTATTTTGCATTAGAAATCATTTCGATTTGCCGATAGATTTGTAAATTTATCTGGTGGGTGTAGAATACTAAAAAATTTGGCTAAAAGCGTGAGCATCACTTGTGCTTGGCTTAACTTCGGCTGTGGCTTAAGTTCTGGCTTTGGTGTTTGCGGTGGCAGTTACGTGTGGAAAGTTATTTTTCATTGTAAATCCGTAGATTATTGACATCATTAAGTATTTAAATTGCTTAAACTGTAAATGGAGTTCGATTAAAAAGCCAACAATAACAACATTAACAGTGATGACAACAACAATGCAGTCATATCTTTGAATTACAATTTAATCACGACATTAACCCAGTCGCATTGCAGCATAAAACCAATTCGCATAATTATAGCAAATATGATAAATTTTTTTCAGAAATACAATAAAGTGGCATTCAAAATAAAGTGGGAAACTTTTAATGCGAATGCGAATGTGAATTGATACTAACTCAAAATAGTATTAAAATTTAGCCTAATTTTAAGAGAAAGAATTCTAAAAAAATCACTTCAATCTTTCTCAAGATTAATTTGCTTATGGTTTATGAGCATATTAGAGTAATAAAATAAGAATTTATCATATATCTTGTAAACATATTTAATTTTTATACTTTCCTTTTAAAAAATAGATGGAATTACTAAATAAAGCACAAACAAGTCAGCAGTCAATCAAAATTTATTTTGTCATCTTCAAAGCCCCCATTATCTGTAATTGCTATGATAGCGCTTGATCCAATCCTTCATTTATTTTTCGTTAAGGTTCCGCTTTCAGCTCCTTCAGTTTCTTCAACTAATTTTTTATTATGGCCGCAATTGATTAGTAATCTTTTTTTTTAATTAACAATTTTGGCTACTACTGACTTTAGAAAAAAATCACACAGGGCTAAAACAGCTGAGTTTGGTGCTTACTTGATGACATTCGTTGCGTATTTTTGCCAAAAGCTTTTACTAAGCGTTGGCTTCACTGCTAATGGTAAAGACTTATAAGTCTTATTGTAAAAACAGCTGATATAAATGCAGTGAGTAATAGATCACGCTAAAATCTTGCCTAATGATGTAGTATATACGTAGTAATTACAACTGATCGAAAAAAGTAAATGTATCTTTTACCCGGTTTTTTGAAATCAAAAATTCTACAAACATTTCACTATGTTTGATTGAATGCTGAACGTGCTGGATTAGGGAAAGAACAAAATTAATATTTCTTACAACTAAAAAGTATCTGTAATTTGTATTTGAAATGATGCGTACTCTACTCTCTTGATTTTATTCTAAATATTAATTTATTCAGCAGATTGATAACTTATTTACGCAATCATGTTCAAAAACGTCCGAATGAGCTGGTATATATAAATTTTGATACTTCTATTTAAGATGATAGTCGTCATTAGTATTACCAAAAAGGTTTATTAAATATTATAAGTGATCATTATATCATTTAAATTTCAAATTTGATATCATTTTTGGTCATAAGACAATCTAAATCGATAATACGAATATTAAATATAATAGGAAAAGATGAAAATAGACTGCAATGCAATAAAAGTCACATCAAATTACTGAGAAAGCAATTAAAGGAAAGACTAATTGAATATCTTAAAAAGTTTAACAAGGTTCCACAAGAGATGATATGGTTGTCAATCATTAAAGTTGGACTTATTAAAAGGCGAAATATTTCAATTTCATGTTTGAAATTGGTCTACATAAGTTCTCATAAAAAAATGATGTTCATGATATCAATAAAGAAAATTATAAATGAGTATAAAATATAATTTCTTTAAAGAAGTAATTTTTTTCGAACAGTAGTGAACTACAACAACAAAAATTCATTTTTATATTATTTTTATTTAATTATTTTTTATTATTATTATTTTATTTAATTATTTAATTATTCGTAAATAGTTTTTTGAGAATGCCAGGAATCGAACTCATGGTCTGCCAGATTTGAAGCTCAGAGTCAGCACTTCTTAACCAACTGATCCAAAGCCGTACTTGACTTTTTATGTTCGCATATTTTTCTGCAGTTTTGTTACTTTTGTTATGAAAGTTTTATTAACAAATTTACTTGCTGTGTTTATATTAGCACGACATCATAAACCAGCTGTAGAATAATTGAATTAATTAATTATATTTTATTTTTTTATTGTTAAATTTCAACACTATTATGTTTGTAGATGATTAGTTCTTTTTTATGTATAGGACCTAATCTAGGAATGTAATGCTGAGAAAGTTATGCCTCACTAGTCGCACGAGGGCAACCAATATTTTGTGAATATTAAGAAGTTATTAATCACAAGTGGTTTTACTAAAATTCCTTGATACAATTACTATGTAAAATTACTATGTATAATTTCAAAAACTACTGAAATCCTTTTTTGATTAGTTAATATTGATATATTATCAAAAATGGATTAAATTTAGTCTTGCATTCTTTATTACAGAAAATATAACATACCACGGTAAAGTAGATGTTAAAAAAAACTGTTAAATTAAAAATTGAAAACAAATCCGAAACATTGAAAATGCAGTAGTACAAATCCGAAAATGAAA